ATCATCATCATCATCATCATCATCATCATCATCATCATCATCATCCAGGAGCCTTCTACATACACACCTCAAAGTAAGTGTACTTTTCTACCTTTTTTGTTGAATTTAGGCAATTTTCGGTGAGCTGGAACTAATTACCCAAAACCCATTGAAACAATGGTTTCGGTTAACGAGTTTTTCGGTTAACGAGCAACCTGCTGGAACGAATTGTGCTCGTTAACCGAGGGACCAGTAATAATAACAACACTTATTTATTTAAGCAGAATTTTAAATACACTAAGTTTCACACATGTATAGATACAGGCTTTATTTCAAAGATGGAATTATGGAAAGCATTTTAGAATCATAGCCTCTTTGAAATTCATTTTAGGTAAAGGGATATATGAAATCCTTACGAAAATCACATTTTGTTTTGAACAGCAGCTGATAAGCTGAGGAGGTACTCAGCCAATTCAGTGATCTCTTCTATGTTTACATTCAAATTAATCTCTCTCTTATATGAATTCCAGCAATGCAAATTAAATTCACCCCGGTCACTTCTATTAAATTTTATAAGCAAAAAACAAAAATTCAATCTAAAGGACATAAATTAACAATTAAATATTTCACACCACAGGCACCAACTGTCAAACATGTCACTGTCACCCCTCCCTCCCTCCCTCCCTACCCCCCACCGTCCCACCCTCCCTCCCTACCGCTCACCGTCCCAAGAAACGTTTGGGGAAAAGCACTAGGCTTGCAGGTTTAAAAATAAATAATATCTCAGACTAAAGTTAGGAGAATATAAATGGCATTGCTGGATTCTTTGCAAGACAGCGAATAATTTGAATATAATCATCATATCTTTTGCACAAAAGATAAAAATTTTGCTCTCTCTAATAAAATTCTTAAATTAGATCTAAAATTTGTATGTCTAATGCAAATTTTAGCTTGTTTATATTCAAATTAATCACTATCTTAAAAGAATTCCAGCAATGTAAATTATATTCTGGCCTGGTAATTTCTATGAATTTTATGAGCTAAAAACAAAAATCTCAAGTAAATAAACAAATTATACTTCACCAGACACTATCTGTCAATCAAAATACCCCACCTCCCGCTCCCCCCTCTTCCCTGGGTCCCTCCCTCCCTCCCTACCCCTGCCTTCCCAGACAAAAGTTTCGTGGTTTGTTAGGGTTTAAAGTGTTTATTTTATATAATATCTCAGACTAAAGTTAGGAGAATATAATTTGCATTGCTGGAATCCTTGCAAGACAGCGAATAATTTGAATATAAACGTCATATATTTTGCTCATGAGATAAAAATTGTAGTATACATTAGAGTACAGTACTGTAGTACATTTTATAATATAAAGTTTTTCAACTGTATTTTTGGGTAGATTTACATAAATTTCTTCATTTATTTTCATCCATTTACATGCACTCACCATACTAAAAGAAATGTAAAAGAAATAAATGACCTTAGTGCAAAGCTGAAGTGTACATGTACTAAATTGATTACGGTACTAAAATTGTTACGTCTAGTGCAAATTATAGCTTGTTTATATTCAAATTAATCACTATCTTACAAGAATCCCAGCAATGAAATTATATTCACCCAGGTCATTTCACTGGCTTTTTATAAGAGAGAAGCTTAGTCACTTAAGGATTGATAAAAAAACACTCGTTAGACATTGGTTCCAACTGTCAAATGTACCACCTCACCTCCTGCTCGCCACGCTCCCTAGCTCGCTCCCTCCCTCCCTCTCGCCCATGTGCCCAGCAAGGGTTTTAGGCTTGCAGTTTTTATCTTATATAATATCACAGACTAAAGTTAGGAGAATATAATTTGCATTGCTGGAATCCTTGTAAGACAGCGAATAATTTGAATATAAACGTCAAATATTTTGCACAAGAGATAAAAATTAATCACCTGTATCACATTACAGTAGTGATTTAAGAGAAAGAGTATATGTACGTATATAGTATTCCACATACACATAAGTATAAATACAAAGTTTATGTGGTGATCGGACAACGTCCATTTCGGTTAACACTTACGTTAGTAGAAAAGATGGCTGGGCACACGGGGATGGGGGGCAGATTATTGGCCCTCACCTGTATCACTATCCGCCACAGAGGATTGCAGGGCCTCTTTGTCAAACCCCTCAAAGTCCATATCCTCACTATCACTGACTTGGGCTGGCTGTGGTGGGTGGCAGGTGAAGAACTCGGTAATGTTTTGTTGACTGGGCGACCTAGCGCGCACCCTGCCCGCATCGCTTCCCACATAAATGATGGAATGTACCACGTAACTAATAATTGCCGGTCTGGCCAGGTGCTGCGTAAATGACCAGCCGCGTAAAGGAAATCCACGTAAATCGAGACTATGCTGTTTATGTATGAAATTTGATGGTTTGAACCACATACAATGAATCATTCATGGCGTAACGTGATAATGAATTAACAAAACACTCGATTTATACTTACTACAAACAACATTAAGTGCTAAGTTAGGTGAGTTGGAGATAAGAGGTGGTGCAATTGGAGTTACTAGGAGGGATGATCATCATGTTTTGGGCTGCTGGTTGAGGTTTTGGGGCAAAGAACTTGTCCAATGTGGTCTCTCATTGACATCGCAATTTTTCAGTGTACTGTACCTTGTATCCTCAAATGGCATTCTCCATTTCTATTGTAAACTTGAGGCTGCATTCACAGTCTGGATTGTGTATCTCAGCAGTTTGCATCACATTTTGCAGTTGACTTAAGTTTTTTGGGACAAAACCTTTGTTGTCATTTCACAGGGCGTAGATGCAACTTCTTTACAGGTGTTCTCCTGTTCCTCAGCTGCAGCTTACTTTTCGTCCATTGTTGGAGATCCTCTTTGTGTGACTAATAACTGTACAAATGTACTTCCTCAACGCCTGCATTATTTGCCAGAGTTACAAATTCCTGTTGCGCCTTGGAAATCGTGAACACAATCTGGCCAGATGGTCTTCCATACATTATTTGTAGTTGTATTTTTTCATCTCATCCCAGGAGTCAGCAGTGGTGTTTACAGCATTCATGATGTTAAATTTCCTCAAAAATCTTGGATTGTTTACTGATCCTCACTCAGTTGCAGCTATAAATTGTCTAAAAGTCCTGTGTCGATAGTGGGCCTTAAAGCTGGCAATCGCACCTTGATCCATAGGCTGTAGCAAGGAAGTTGTGTTTTTGGGCAGGTATTCAACCCTGATATTAGAAGAATGGTCATTAAGATTAACAAGGTGGCTGGGGAGCATTATCAAGAAGTAACAGGGCTTTGTTGGCAATATTTTGTTGGTTACTGTACCTTTTTACAGATGGACAGAAGCAATTAGTAAACTAATCTTGGAAGAGGCTGCCAGTCATCCATGGCTTCCTATTGGAGTGCCATATCACTAGTAACCTGGATTTGTTGTAGTCCTTGAAAGTGGCTACACAAGCATGGGCTTCAACTTGAAATCACTTGCTGCATTACCCCCTAACAGGAGCATTACATGATCTTTGGAAGCCTTGAACCCAGGAGCTGTTTTCTCCTCAGTTGAAATAAATGTTCTGGAAGGCATGCACTTCCAAAAGAGGCCTGTTTCATCAACATTATGCACTTGCTGTGGTGTGTATACATCAGCCTCAATTATTACTTAAATTCAGCAGGATAATTTTTGGCAGCCTCAGTATCAGCACTGGCTGCTTCACCTACCATCTTGATGTTGTGTAAGTTTATACATTTCTTAAAGCACTCAAACCATCTTTGCTGGCATTGAAGTGTTTTTCGTCAGAACTAGCACCTTCTTCCTGGCTTAAAGAAAATCTGCATAAGACTCTTAGCCTTCTCCTAAATAACCAATATGTTAATGAGCACATTTTGCTTGGTCTGGACCTCTATTCATGCACTGAGTAAGCTTTCCATTTTTAACATTACATCTCTACGATGAAAATATAGTGTATGGGCTGACAATGGAGTAGCAACTTGAGCACTAGCCTTTATTTTGTCTTTAATATTATCATGGATTGTTCCAACAGTGGAGGGCAAGGCCCAAAGTTTTGGCAATGTAACTCAACTTCTCCCCCTACTCAAACCTCCTTAACACCACTGCTAGCACTTACACTTGATGGCCTCTTTCGACTCATCTTGAATAAGAGTGACGGAAAGCTGGACATTTCTAGAGATTCAAACAGACCGAGAATGTTGTTGTTGTTGTTGTGAGACCACTGGTGCCTTTTTCCTATCACAGATGCACCCACACACAAAAAAAAAAAATTAAAATATTTTAACAGCGAATTTCCATAACCTGGAATTCACTTATTGCGGGGGACGCCTTTACTCTGTACAAATAGTGAGCAAATAAACATTTTGTCATTTCATAATAATTGTACAGTTGTGTTTATGTTAAATCATAAAATATAGATTATTTTATATAAGAGTTAAAACTTAACATGGGAAATACTTTACCCATATGTGTACATGATGTTGCTACAATTTCAAAGGTAATTACTTATGTTGGATAAAGTTGCTTAAGGTCAAATGAGGGAATTTTGTGACATCATCATTATTTTATGGCTGTGATTACAGCTAGCACAGCTGTTGGGTAAAACCAGATGGGATGCCCCCCATCCCCACCCCTCACACCATTGCAAACTTTGAAAATTAAGTAAGAGTGAAGGTGATAATGGCTCCCACAAGCACAATGTACAGTATATCTGTAGTGGACAGAGTGCCTCATTATCTCTGATGATGAGATTATTTACCAACACGGAATATTCCAGAAAATATTCATGAAGTCATCCACATTATGAGTTTTATGGAGATATTTATGAGGAACTGGATGACTTTCTGATGAATTTAGGAAAGTTAAGTGACATTCTCTGATTATTTACTTTACCTTACAGAATGAGCCGTAGTACAAGTATACAGAAAAATTATATCTAATACACTAGGACTATTCATAATCAAGATGCATATAAAGGTCTCACAGTGGCACCTTTTCCCCCCACAGTTACTTCCATTGTTCCTTGATCGGGTACTTCCTTGGGTTATTGACGGCAACCGTGTCGTCTGAGGTCTTCAAGGCAGCCCAACCAGCACTCCTCTATCTGGTGCCCTTCACGTTGCTGCCCCTCCTCACTATGGCATACCTAAAGGTAACATTATCTTATTGTGGTGTTGTGATATTTAGTATGGTGTTGTGTTGTGATATTTAGTAAGGTGTTGTGATATTTAGTATGGTGTTTTGTTGTGATATTTAGTAAGGTGTTGTGATGTGTTGTGATATTTAGTATGTTGCTGTGATGTGTTGGGATATTTAGTATGGCGTTGTGTTGTGATATTTAGTATGGCGTTGTGTTGTGATATTTAGTATGCTGTTGTGTTGTGATATTTAATGTGGTGGTTTGATGTGTTGTGTGGTGTTTTGGAATGTGTTGTGTTATGGTTTGTTGTGTTGTGTTATGGTTTGTTGTGTTGTGTTATGGTATGTTGTGTTGTGGTATGTTGTGTTAAGGCATGTTGTGTTATGGTATGTTGTGCTTTGTTGTGTTATGGTATGTTGTGTTGTGTTATGGTATGTTGTATTGTGTTGTGTTATGGTATGTTGTGTTTTGTTGTGTTATGGTATGTTGTGTTTTGTTGTGTTATGGTATGCTGTGTTGTGTTATGGTATGTTGTATTGTGTTGTGTTATGGTATGTTGTATTGTGTTGTGTTATGGTATGTTGTGTTTTGTTGTGTTATGGTATGCTGTGTTGTGTTATGGTATGTTGTGTTGTGTTGTGTTATGGTATGTTGTGTTGTGTTGTGTTATGGTATGTTGTGTTATGGTATGTTGTGTTATGGTATGTTGTGTTGTGTTATGGTATTGTGTTGTGTTATGGTATGTTGTGTTGTGTTGTGTTATGGTATGTTGTGTTGTGTTATGGCATGTTGTGTTGTGTTATGTTGTGTTATGGTATGTTGTATTGTGTTGTGTTATGGTATGTTGTGTTGTGTTATGTTATGGTATGTTGTGTTATGGTATGTTGTGTTGTGGTATGTTGTGTTTTGTTGTGTTATGGTATGTTGTGTTTTGTTGTGTTATGGTATGTTGTGTTTTGTTGTGTTATGGTATGTTGTGTTCTATTGTTTTGTGTTATGGCATGTTGTGTTATGGTATGTGTTATGTTGTGTTGATTTGGTTTAATTTTAATTTTACAGTTTTGTTTTGTTTTATTTCACTTGAATTTCATTTCATTTGAATTTATTTAGTTAAAATTCATACAGCACCTGTACAAGCACACATGTAAAGTATAAACATTTGTTGGGGATAACACATACAATACTTTATTCATTATGTATATTTCCAGTGTGGTCCTTTTTGAAGACATTAATAGGTACATTAAAGGAATAGTTAATTCTACTTACATTTATACTTGATTTAGCCAAACACAAGACAACCTTCCCCAACAGTCTGTGGGGTAAGTTATTTTGGGTTCACACTCAGGATGGGATGGAGAAAGGAAACTCACAATGTGCTCTCTGTATACATATTGTATTGGATGTACAGTGCAGCTTGGTGCTGGGAAGGCAGCATGGTTACAAGCGTGATGTAGAGAGAGCTGGTTGGTGAGGATGCTCAGAGGAGGACCGGCTTGTGGGTCGCCATGCTCGCCGGCGGGAGCGAGGGCCGCCAGGCAGAAGCGGAGGAGGTGGTGTTGCTTGCTGGTTGGTGTAGGTAGAAAGAGAGAGGTAGGTCACCACGAGGTCAGGTCTTATATAGCGGAGGTAGGTGTGGCTTGATAGTTGACCTCCGTCATGTAAGGCGGCGCTGGTTGACCCAGACCACGAGGCATACACTGGGGAATTCGCGGGGTCGGCTACTCAGCGACAAGCGTTTGTAGGGCAGGAATCCACTACAATACTCCCTCCTTCCCTCCAAGCGGTGTAGGAAACTTGTTGTCTGCAGGGGTGCATGGCACATGTGAGGCAGAACGGGTGGTGCATGCCACATGTGAGCCAAAACGGCGAGGGCGTGGATGAGCCGGCCGCTAGTGGAGGCAACTGTCTAGACACACAAGATCTGTGGGAGAAGAGAGGGAGAAAGAGGGTTGTGGAGGCGATGAATGTTGTGCTTCACTCGTGACAGGTACAGAGTCCTCAGATGCGCCTGCTGGGGTGTGTGGGCCTGGGTCAGGAGCAGGGGCTGCGTCAGCAGGAGCGGATGAGGGCTCGTGACAGCAGCTGGGTCCACGACAGCAGCAGGGTGCAGGACAGTAGCAGGGGATACCTGAGGGAGAAAAGAGGGGTGTGTGGGTCCGCGTCAGGAGGAGCGGCAGGGGGTACTGCTGGGCCGGGGCGGCGTCTGAGGCAGGATGGGTGTGTTGGGGTCGGTAGGACGTGGTGCTTGGGGCAGGAAGAGGAGCGGCTGTTTGCTTAGAGTCGCAGAGCTGCTTTAGGGTGTCTAACCTGCGATGTAGAGACAGTAGCTGTAGAGCCGATGAGAGCTGTCTCTGCGTGGGTAAGCCAGTCTTCCATGTTACTTGAAGACTGGGAGCGTGATCTGTTTCTCCTCCATCCTGTGTGAGTGCGTATCTCCAGGGGTCACCATTTGTGGGGTAGTTATTTTGGGTTCACACTCAGGATGGGATGGAGAAAGGAAACTCACAATGTGCTCTCTGTATACATATTGTATTGGATGTACAGTGCAGCTTGGTGCTGGGAGGTGGCAGAGTGGTTACAAGCGTGATGTAGAGAGAGCTGGTTGGTGAGGATGCTCAGAGGAGGACCGGCTTGTGGGTCGCCATGCTCGCTGGCGGGAGCGAGGGCCGCCAGGCAGAAGCGGAGGAGGTGGTGTTGCTTGCTGGTTGGTGTAGGTAGAAAGAGAGAGGTAGGTCACCACGAGGTCAGGTCTTATATAGCGGAGGTAGGTGTGGCTTGATAGTTGACCTCCGTCATGTAAGGCGGCGCTGGTTGACCCAGACCACGAGGCATACACTGGGGAATTCGCGGGGTCGGCTACTCAGCGACGAGCGTTTGTAGGGCAGGAATCCACTACAAGTCCACCATCATGTTTGTAGACCGTAGTTACTCTGATGCAGATTCAAACTTAGCTATAATACATCATTTGCTCTCTCTCTCTCTCTCATATATATATATATATATATATATATATATATATATATATATATATATATATATATATATATATATATATATATATATATATATATATATATATATATATATATATATATATATATATATATATATATATATATATACACACATACACGTGGTGTCCTGCCCAGACGCTTATTTTAGATTTGCCTCAATTCTGCCTGACTGCCTGTTTTAGCTCATAAACTCTATACAAATTGAACAAGAATAGAGACACTTACATTGCTGGAATTCTTATAATTTGATGATCATTTTGAATATAAACATCATATTTTTGCATTAGATATACAAATTTTAGATAAAATTTTTTCTCAAATTAACTATGTTATCTTTTGTGCAAAATATATGACATTTATATTCAAAATATTCCTGGTCTTACAAGGAATCCAGCAATGTCAATTATATTATCCTAACTTTAGTTTGAGGTATTATTTATTAAAATTTAGTGGTTATCCCACACATCTCCTTGGGACGGTTGGTGGGGGTGGGGGGGAGGGAGGGACCGACCGACCATCTGTTACCCAGTGAAGAATTATTTTTTTTTTAACTGAAGATATTTGTTTTAGCTCATAAAATTCATACAAATTATCCGGTCTGAATATAATTTACATTGCTGGAATTCTTATAATTTGATGATCATTTTGAATATAAACATCATATTTTTGCATTTGACATACAAATTTTAGATAAAAATTTTTCTCAAATTAACTATGTTATCTTATGTGCAAAATATATGACATTTATATTCAAAATATTCCTGGTCTTACAAGGAATCCAGCAATGTCAATTATATTATCCTAACTTTAATCTGAGGTATTATTTAATACTAAATGTTAAAAACCCTGGAAGGGAGGATTGGTGGGGGGTGGGTTGGAGGGTTGGGACTGACCGCGCGGTTGGAAGAGGGGGGGAGGCAAGGTGGGGTACTTTGATTGACAGATAGTGTTGTGAAGATTATTTTTTTTTTTATTAACTGAAGATATTTGTTTTAGCTCATAAAATTCATACAAATTACCCTGTCAGAATATAATTTACATTGCTGGAATTCTTATAATTTGGTGATCATTTTGAATATAAACATCATATATTTTGCATTAAACATACAAATTTTAGATAAAAAATTTTCTCTAGGTAACTATGTTATTTTTTGTGCAAAATATATGACATTTATATTCAAAATATTCCTGGTCTTACAAGGAATCCAGCAATGTCAATTGTATTATCCTAACTCTAGTTTGAGGTATTATTTATTAAAATTTAGTGGTTTTCCCCCCAAAATTTCTCTGAGAGGGAAGAGCCGGCAGTGTAGTGTGAGAGGGGGAGGGAGTTGAGTCCATTTATTTGAATGGACATTAACTCTGCGACTGTATTTCTCTTAAGTATTAATTGTGTGCATGTACCATCATAAAATTAAGATGTTATTTTTACTAAGGTATAGGTAATGTGCCTTCCAAAAAGTGGAGTTTGGTCAGGAAGGCGGTTTCTATTGGAATTAATTAATCCCACGCGTTAAATGTACAACTATTTGTTCACTTAGCCTTAATATGTATATGCCTGCCTTAACTTGCTCCTTAACATATATATACATATATATATATATATATATATATATATATATATATATATATATATATATATATATATATATAGCCAGCAGCCAGCCAGCCAGCAGCCAGCAGCAGCCAGCAGCAGCTAGCCAGCCAGCCTTAACATGCCTGCTGCTGCCTAACTATATAACATATATATACTTATATATATATATATATATATACTCTATATATATATATATATATATATATATATATATATATATATATATATATATATATATATATATATATATATATATATATATTATATATATATATATACCAGCCAGCCGTAGCCAGCAGCAGCCGCTTCCAGCCGCTTAGCAGCAACCCATAGCAGCAGCAGCAGCAGCCTGCTGCTTATGCTTAACGCGCCTTGCCGCCCGCCCTTGCTGCCGCTGCTGC